CAATTCATTGTAACTTGTACATAATCTTTAATATATTATTTTTCTTTTGTTATTGAAATTTATTTTTTTTTTCACTACGTCACACTTAAATTCAGCTATTGTGAGCGGTGGCGGGGCGATCTTCGGGCCAATGGTGCTCATGCGACAAAGAGAAATTTCCGTTGCATTTTCTGTGAGACTGTTCAAAGGCCCATACGTGAGGACAGGGGGGGTATGCTTCTTTGTCCTTTGGTTAGTGGAATTTGACGCAGCTGTGGTCTTAACGGTGTACACGGCGATCTTTGAAAATGTTTCTTAAAAAAGAACCTCTGGCCAACGCACAAGTGAGCGTTACGAATCGCTGGTTTTATGCAATTTTTTGGAGGTTTCAAACGGTCTCCGTTTCGCACTTGTGTTCATGAAAAGACTCGGTGTCTGTTTGTATACCACACCCGCGCCCGTTTTAAGAAAACCCTATGGCCTTGACCATCGCGCTACGTCGAGTGCTGCCCCGCCCTGCCGAGTCGCGTCAGCTCTTGACTCCTTAGGGCGCCTTCCCACGTCGCCACAGCGGCGCGCTCTCGTCAAGCAGCAAAGCCCTTCCGACGCCGCCACCGGCGCCCGCCGTAGAAGGGGGTTGGTTTCGATCCTCTGGCGATGACGAACAAAGGGGCCGCAGCAGGTAAAACGCCGCGACCGGCGGCACAGAGGGAAGGCTACCATTTAAAGCTGTGTTCTGCTAGCGGTGACGCGAACGCCCTCCTCCGTTTCGCCAAGCGAGAGTCCGTCGCCGCTTGTCGCAGCGGCGCAAACCCGCCGCACATGGGAAGGTCTCCATTCAAACCAATGCTCTGTTACGAGCCGCGGTGTTCGGAAGCGCGTTGCGGTGGCGGAGTGTGAAGAGGTCCTTAAAGTTGTGTTCTGCTAGCGGTGGCGCGTACGCTCTCCTTCGCTTCTCAAAGCAAGGGTCCGGCGACGAACACCGCAGCGGCGCAAACCCGCCGCACGTGGCAAGGTCTTCATTCAAACCAATGCTCTACTATGAGCCGCAATGTTCGGATACGCGCAGAGGTGACGACGAGAGAAGGGGCCCTTAGGGACACGCGACAGACGGACTTACGGTCACGCGGGGGAGAGCGTACGCACCACCGCTAGCAGAACACAACTTGTAATGGCAGCCTTCCCACTGTGCCGCCAGTCGCTGCGTTCCCTTTGTTCGTCGTCGCCAGAAGGTCGGCGAAACCCATTTATTTAGAATATTCACTGTTGTTAACACTTTGATGGACTACTAATATTGTATCATGTTCAACAATCACCTCAGCTTACGAATCCAACATATTGTATGTTATATTTCATTTCATTAATAATAATGTGTTCTCTTGGCTGCGAATGACTGCACCATATGAGTGTCAGCCACTGTATCTGTAGGTGCCAATAACTGTAATTTTTGATTTTGTAAGTTTGAACATTAAAAATAAATTAAAAGCAGAGAGACCTAATATGTACAATTATTATTATCCTATAACTGTCCTTATTCAGAATACAAGGTCTTAATTAATGTCATAGAGTGAACTCCAGTGATACAAATGTGAGAAAGTATGTGCTTTGGAAGCTTCACTAGTTTGTTTTATTTTCGTATTCTGCGTATATACAGTTAATTTAATTGAAGTTACGAAAAATTCTAATTTTTTGTCGACCAATATTATCATTTTTTGTAAATATTGTAATATGGCGTGCTAGTCATTTACCTCATAATCTAGAATATGTACATGTTGGGCATAATAAGTGGATGTTTTTATCATTTAGAATACTTCTCCATATGTCACCTAGTTAACGATTTTTAGTTTTAAATAAGTAAATGTAACTACTAGGGGGCGGATTTTGATGACCTAAATAATCCACAGCCAAAAATAATCAATAAAATGCTCTTAAGATATTTAAAAAATGCCCTAAAGCAAAGAAAAATCACGTAAAAAAATGCGGACAAAACCAGTTTGGATAAACAACTGAAGTTGTTGGAGATGATGTAATCATGAATGACTTGTAATGTTGGATTACTGATGTAATCATAGTGGAAAGGATATAATGTATGGATGTAATCTAGGCTTCTTCCATTCGTTCAAGTAAACTCAGCTTGTAAACTTTTGGTGTGGACTGTTCTTTGCCAGGAAATCTGTCTTTAGATATCCCAGAATCGCCGAACCGATAATGGCGCTGATAGGCGTCAGAGAAACCTACGTTACATACGACGGCTGACATTACAATTTCTGAGCGAATAAATCATATAAACTTCTCAGAAATTTAGTTCAGAACATTTGTTGCATATTGTAATATATTATTTAAAGCAAGTACCATTAAAATAATATTAAACTAGATGGAATAGGCAAAAAATGCATTAAAAATTATGTAAAATGACTTACCCGTACTTGAAAGTAAACACTACCGTTTATTCTCATGCCTCTACAGCAAAAACGTGTTATTTTATTATAATTTCTTTTATCAACAAATTATTTTTAATTGAAAAATATGAAGAAATAAGATTAATTTATTCTATCAAAAACGTTTTGATGTTTCCAGAGCAAAAAATTTCAATACAAAAAACATTTTTTGAAAAAAAAAACTAAGAATAACTTTTCTGTGCCTTAAAACAGTAACTCATGCACAAAAAATATCAGAACTTCCTCTCAAAAAGCCAATGTTGGTCATTTTTACTTTTTTTCGATTACTGGGCCTTCTTTCGCTTTTCCGCCTGTAAAACTACTGATGTGTCTTTGACAATTACTGCAACAATTCTGTACAATTATTGTGTTTATTATACATTGTTATAGCACCCAGTAGTTTTTAGACAGTGGAGAAAATGGTCAATTTTTTAAAGCTTTACAATTTTTTATAAAATAATATATCTTACGCTCACTAAAGATGATTTTTGGCAGTTCCATCGGCACAAAACCCCGTAAGTGTGCTGATAGTGTGTAGATAATTACAGTACAGTCCTATATCCAACATATTTCAGAATTTGAAAAAAATAGTTGTTCGCTGATTATGACATGCAATACAGTTTATTGCAATACACATTATCGCGCATAACTGGAAAGCATATTATATCCCGGGAGATGACTGTTTTCCCCCTCTGGAATGTGAAATACGGTGCCCATTGACAACTCGGATTGTGCGGGTTTCGCCTCCAATCGAGTGAAGCTTCAATCGCTCTATTGATCGCCTTACGGTAGCAGTGACGTGCACGTGTGCGAGTTTGTGTTAGTAATGGGAGGAGGGCACAAGAATGAGGACGGAAAGATAGCGCGCGATCGTTGGCCGTAAGATACACCCCATTTGCGTGTTAATGATGGAAGAAACCGTGAAAAACTAGGGAACGTAGCAACCGGTCGCGAGATTTCTCTTCCAGTGTGGTTGAATTCGTCCTGATTTTGTAGCTAGAGTCGGGAATCCGCCACTGAAACCGTAGAATTTCCCGTTCAACGTCGCTGATTTTTCTGAAACGAATCGATCCTATGTTGTTTCTTAATCAATTCACAAAAAAAGCCAAATCTAAATCAATTATTTTCCCCATTAGGCTAAGAATGGAAATAATTCTGTGTTATCACCTATTCATTCTATATTTATTTTGTACCTCAACAAATTATCCTTCACTGGCCGTGGCCGGTAGTCAATGATTGTCAGTCAGCTATTGATCCTTTTAAAGTTGCAAGAAAGTTCCATTAGGAATTAGTTAACACTTTTGTGTGTAAATAAATAGTATGTATTTTCTTCGGCCGAACGTTAAAAAATAAGTAAATAAATATACGTAAAAGAGCTCTAAAGTATGCTTCTTGTGCGAAAATTCTACTTGTTAAATATTTCGCCTTGAAACGTTCAGACGTTTTAGAAAAGTATGCCAATAAGAAACAAACTTGCAGTTGCATCAGCTTCCCAGCTTGTTTACAACTATGATTTATACATTTATTTCGGAATGTACATGCCCCTCTTTTTTTTACTGTGTATGTTTATATGTTTAATCATCTGGTACAGGTGCAAAGTTAAAGAGAAATTGGCACGATATTATATTTATATATATATA